ATGAGCCCATCTACCAAGTACCTTGGCAAAGTCTTCGAGGGCGTCGTCTGTCACTCGGAACGGTTGACCAGTTTTGATTACAGCTCTGGCTTTCGAGTTTGGACGCGGAACGTGTCCCGCAAGAGTTCTGTGATCCGATGTCGAGTCAAGCTCTGTCGAAATATCTGCAAGGGCACCAGCGTTAGACCAGACCAGGTCGAGTGTGTTTCCAAAGTCGTGTGTCGGGACGCCCGGTGTGGAAGATAGGTCCATGCCGTGCTCGAACATCCACTCGGTGAGCACCTGGCCGTCACCGTGTAGCCTAGTAGCCATTGGCTGCCAGTCGGTGTGAACAGCATTGAAGTCTCCGCCAATAACTGTAGGCCCAGATGGAGCCCATGATAGCAGCGGCAAAAGGTCTGCTCCAGGAGCGCGGTATACGGAGACAAATGTGACTCCTTCTACATTTACTGCAGTGAGATCTGGTGATGTCTCGCAGATTGCTTGCTGTTGGCAGTTGATCCCCTTTCGCGTGTAGATGAGGGAGCGTGGCCTTGAAGAGTTGGCAGCGGCATGGGGAGGCAAATGCCTATCGAATCCGGGATGCGACTTGCTGAGCCAGAAGCCGTCCTTGTGTTGAGTCCAGGGTTCCTGGATAAGTAGGACATCGGTTTCTGAATCCCAAGCGGATTGCAGGATGATGTCCGTAGCCGGGTCTCCTCTGCCCAGATTAGCACAGAGGAACGATATTGTTGTTGCTGTAACAGTTGTGAACTGTACTAAGCATGCGCTCGCCTAATCATACTCATCTTGATCTGGTTAGGCTCGACTGATAATCTTCCGGCCTCGGCACACAGTTTGTATGATAATTTCGTGTACATAAAACTTTCTTTCTTTAGATTAAATATAGCTCATGATTCAGACCCAACTATATCATTCTTAGCTTTCCTCTGATAGTTGCCATTTTTTGAAGCTCGGTTGGGTTGTGGTCCCTTACGGGCATTGAGCAACGTTTGTATTTTCGTTTTCGGCAGTAGCCTCGGTGGCTTTCTGCTTTGCTTCCATCTCTCTGATCGAAGCGTTCCGTTCTTTTTGACCTTGTTCGCGAATTACCGCCAGCTGGTCTCTTGTGCGCTGTACCGTTTTGCCAGCAACCCGCGTCGGCCTAGCCATGCAGTTAGGCTCGACGGCAGAGCGTGGTCCATGGCAGTTAATGCATCTCGGGATAGCCTGTTTGCAATCGGCGGCCTTATGCTCGACAGAGCCGCATCGTGAACAGCGTTCTGCTCGCGAGCAGATCTTTGTAGGGTGGTGTCCCCAACATCGGTTGCATTGAGCAATTTTTGGCTTGCGCTGGAGTTCGTGCAGCCGACCACTTTCTTCAAATAGTCGTTCACCAAGCGTTGGTTTTCCTGTCGCATAATGTAGCACCCAGTCTGTTGATGGCCTTGCCATGCTAGTCGCAAAATCGCGAGCAGATGTTGGTCTGATGCCGGTCTTGAGGGTGGCTTCTTCGATCACCATTTCTGGCGTGACTGGCACTGGTCCCTCGAGGGTATATAGCCTATCTGGAATATTGGGTGCAAGCACTGATATCCAATTGGACGCGGCTTCCAACTTCATTTCAGAGCTGTCAAGGGTATTCGCTCCTGTCAGTAGCGCACTTCTTGCTCCTTCCCCGTCAGCTTTTTCCTGCATCACTGCTGATGCTTTGGGTTTCGATGTGGGCATGTGGCCAGTGGTTGTTTTTGTGGCAGCTGTGGTTGCTGGCTTAGCCTTTTTACGCACCACCTCTGTCCAGGATCTCTCGGAAGTCTGGTTGGTGGTTTGTTCTGTCCCATGGGTAGGGATTGGTGTCGCAGAAGCAGCGGCTGGTGTGGCTGCTCCTAATCTTGTGTTTTCCCTGGCGAGGATCTGTACAGGACGCACGACGCTCGCAATAGTCTTCTTCCTCGACTCTTTAGCTGTCTCGAGGCGAGGTTTGATGATGTGGCCACTTGCAGCTTGAGCTGGTGCTGTGGCTTTGGGGGTGGCTGAATTGCCCCGCAGAATTTCTGTGATCCGGCTTTGAAGAGCCAAACCGGTGAGTTCGATGGCTTGTCGGAACTCTTCGTCTGTTTTCGATTCGAGCAGGTTGCAGTACCCGCTGACAATGCGCTCTGCTTCCGCAAAACGTTCCTGGAAAGCCCTCGCTAGTTCGGCGAGAAAGTTGGTCATGTGGACGGCCGTGGGGTTTGGGCTCGGGTTTGGAGAGTTCTGTTGACTCGCGCAGTAGACTGAGTCTGGTGTGGTGTTGTGTGTTGTGGGCGGTAGTGTGTATTGTGGATCGTTGAGATCCATTTCGACGTCCTGGCACGTCGCGTGTTGGGTGGGGAGAGGTGGCCAGGAGCCAGCCTCTGCGGAGGACTGGGGCGGCATAGGTGATTGAGAAATGTAAGTGACAGTAAGATGTCGTAAATGGAATGCAATATAGTCACTTTGGATTGCGAAAAATTGTAATGGTTGTGTCTTGTGTGTTGCGCCTTAGAAATGGTTATTTAATTTGCTATTTTTGTTCTGCGTTTCTAGTTTCTATGAAACAAAAATATAGGTAGCGAAGAGTCCTATATATCAAAACTACCAGTGCCATGCCCTCTGGGTGCTGGGGTAGTACCTAGTCACGATAATAATAATATCATATCATATCATAACTCCATTTTGTTCAGGTGCAAGAATTGTTATGTTTGATCAACAGTTATTTAATTTAACAATCCCGACCTTTACATGCGCTGCAAACCGTCATCTAAAATGTCTCTACCAAGATGGGCGTATCACCATCTTATTGCGACGAGAACAGTCCACGGGGCCCCCGCCGACTACCACCAGCGTTTCAACCCTGAACACGACGATCTTAAGTGTGTTTGTGGCCAAAAGAAAAGACCCTGGCATTCTAGAGAGTTCCAACTTGCTCTGCAACGTTGGATAAGCTGTGAGAAATTGGCCCCGCCTGGAGCTAAGGAAATGATTGGGGAGAAGGGATGGCAGAAGTTCTCCAATTACTAACAACAAGTAGATTATAGTCTGCCAAAAAATTAACAGAGTGAGAGGTTATTATGCTGAGACTATTTTCATCTCGAGAGGAGATATGTTTGAAAGAAAGAGATGTGGCGCAAGGTACCGTAACTCAGACATTTATTGTACTTTTTTATTTTCTTTCGTCACTACTGGCTTTACTGCCACTCATGTAAGTAGTAATGAGCTTTTAGGACCCATTTATCCGTGTCAAGCCTAAAAAGATTTTGCGACCTTCCTGTCACGTTAGTTGTTTCAAATTTAAACCTAATAAAATCTTCATGCTTCCTAGTATATCACAAGCAAATGTGTTTATCAATTCTCGACACAGATATACTGGGGGCTGATAACTCAGCAACTGTTATCAGTGTCCCCTACAAGCTTTTAGCTTTATCTGTAGAGTCTGCAGAGTTGAGGTTTAGTAACGCATTCGTCCTCATTTCGACTAGAATACCTACCACTCTCGCGGCCCGTATCGTCTTTATCTCTCTATACAAATATGTTGTTGGTAAAAAACAAAGTAATACAAATTGGGTGCCGTCACGAAGACCGTGAATAAAGTCAATTAACTGGCATCTCGAAATACATAAAACTTTGTCTTTCCTACTTTTCCTCTTCACCTTCCCATAAGTCTTCCATAGTCATAGACTGAGTTAGGACTATAATAAAATCTAATCTAACCTAATAATCTTCATTTTCCCTTTCTTCCAATACTCCAAGCGCCTCGCTAGTGAGCTAAGTCAGATCCCTGTCAGTGTCCTAACGACAACCTGAATACCGCAGTTAGATAGAACAATTCATACTACCAAAATATGATCTTTTTACCGACATATATAGTATCATTACCATGAAGCTGAACACGGTCAGATCAGATGGCGGGGTCGAAGTCCTTCTTATCGTCCTCCCTTGATCATGGAGGAAAAGCAGTCCGATGAGTTTCCGGAGCGTAACTAGCATCCCATACGGAGATGGTAGAATGGATCAAGTCGGCCTCGACTGTCACAAAGAAGGAAGATATAGATGAATATGTGCACCTCATGTGGTCCCGGTGTCTAGGCCTCGCCTGGCTGTGACTACAAGTTTTTTGAGACTTTTTCCCGCGCACGCAGTTTCCATTGTTGCCATTTTTCTAGGGTAGGAGGTGTTGTGGAAAAAGTGACTGAATTCCACGGCCAAATACTGAGCTATATGTCTATTTATCTTGGGCAGTGTGTCGTAGATTTTTCTAGTAACAAAAGATATTCGACTTTAATTATCTAAATATTCAGACATATAATGAATATGGTCTGTTTGTCGATTATGATGTAGCTGCGATTGCAGTTGGATGTAAATAATGTAAAGGTCTTTATCAATTATCTTTAATATATATATTTATTATGGAAATACCCTCTCGTGAAGTCTACTCAATATATACATGTAAATGCCTTCTTTAATAGATATTCCCAAAGTCAAAGATAGAGCACCTATATCCCCTGAGATATATGTTCGATACAGAGTTGTGACCTGCCTCCGATATTATGCGCAAGTCCGAAACTACGTTCTACCATGTCCCTCAGTTCTGTGTTAAGTTTTTCAGCCTTCATTTCCGTGCACATATCCTAAAGTTTAATTTGCCCGTAGATGTGTGATCAGTGGCGGAAACCTGCTGTCTAATAAACACTGTTTAGACACCATGGGAATAGAGTCTAACTCCAACAAAAGAGGATGGAAGTACTGTACAAGGTGCGGTCTGGTATAGAGGGGAATCCTATTTGAAAGATAGTTTTTGAATCAAATAGTTTAACCAAACACAGATTAACACAGGCCATTCCTTTTCGTCTCTAGCTCGCTACTTAGCTAGGTTTTAGCTTTCATCTTTAAGCTAAAAGAACGACTCGGTTTAAATCGAAGTATAAGAGATAAATTACTGTATTGAAGGATTCTGCTTAGTACATAAGAAAGGAATTTCTATATAGGTAGATAAAAAAATATCAGTAAACAGGCCGGCTCTCATTCCATCGAGCCTTGACAGGAAATGGGTCTGAACTTTTATCAAATCCAAACCTCCCCGAGTTTTCTAGTTTTTCGCTCCTCTTTTGCCTAATATCACTCTCCACATTTTCCAAGGCGCCGATCCATTCCCAAACACGACTAACTTCTCCATTACGATCCTCCTTTTGTGAAGCTCTTACATTAGAGTTCGTCTCAACAATACTTCGAACTTTGCGCCAAATACTTTCTCTTTTGGATACTTGATGTTCATCTCGAAGTACGTCATCACGTAGTTGTCCAATGCTAATCCAACGGTCCACTCCGCGATCATTTTGGTGTAACGCAGCTTGAATAGCAAGACGGCTTAAGGTGACTGAAACTAGATTGGGTATAGCCGCGTTTATTCTATACATTGACGTGATAACTTTACGACAGTAAACTAGTAGTAATATGCTTAGAATTATGCCTCCAATTGGGAAACAATATTGCGCCAACGTATTGCGGACGGATCTTCTGAGGGCACAAATGAGGCTGAGGCGGGCGAGAGACGTGCTTGCAAGCTTGATATGGACTCTGATGAAAATAAAACCCTGGTTAGTTTGAGGTTCGTCAGATATGTCTTGTGGCAAAAAGGGGGTCTTTACAGAAAACAGTAGTTATAGCAACTTAAGATGATATTATAACCTTTTTTTGGTGATACTGGGAACTTACTCTTGACTTTCAACGGTTGTGGATGAAATTTCATCCCGACCCAAGACTTCGAGAAGCCCTCCAGCCCATAAATCCTCAAATTCTGCTTCTGACATCCCCTTGCGACGTTTGCTAGACATAAGTTTTTTTAGTTCTTCTGCATCTATTTCTGCAGAGGTTTCGGGAACTCCAGAGTCGTCTTTAAGCTCACCGCACTCGTATTTAGCTCTTCGTTCTCTGAGCTCATCTATTGCACGATCGGCGACGGCTTTAACTTTTCGAACTTTGATTCCGTCAGGCTCACAAGTAGGTACCAGAGGAATTAATCCAGAAAAAGAAAGAGGATGAAGTTTGAGGATATAGTCGTGCTCACATTGTGCCCGCATATTACTAGAACAGTAAGCATGTTGTGGGCATGGCTCACACTCTGGTTCGACAAGAGTGCGAGCCCAATTAGGAGCTTCCCAGCTAGATGGTAAAGCTGATGTTGGTCTTTTACCAACTCCACAATAGCCAATAGCTATTTTTTCTTGACGATACCATGCTAGGTAGCCACAGAGGGCGGTTAGTGCTATGACCCAAAGAGGCCCCTTTAGACCATAAACTGTTGATGATCGTCTTTTTGGTCGGAAAGCATGGCGTGAGATTATAGGATTATCAGCTTTATCTTTCATTAGATCTAGTTGTTCTTCTGGTGTAAATTCCTCAGTGATTTCGATATCATTTTTTTGTTTTATTGGTGTTTCATATAAGAGAGCTGGTGCCTGAAAGCTTTTCCTACTCGGAGGGTGAACACCATGATCAATCTGTGGTGATGTTACTCTACTTCTAGTCGCATACCCGCTGGTAACTCTTCTTTCTCTTGTTGTGCCTAAGCTTTTTCTCTTTGTTCCAGGACTTGAGCGTTCAGATATAGGCGAGCTCCCACTTTGAAACGGATTATCGTAGGTGAAAGCACTCTCTCTTCGCTTCACGATTTCTACTCCGGCGCCATCATCTATAACATCATACTTTGCCTTTGTTCTTACCCTCTCATGGTTTATCGGCGTTTCACTCATTCTTGCTCTTAATGACTTTCTTCTAAATTCAAGGTCTATACCTGACTCATTGTCACTTGTCCGAGCGTGTTTACTACCACTATTTCGCTTTTTTTTTTCAGGACTTATTATTGCCTCTTGCTTCAAAAGCGACTCTTTTTCGTCATCTCCTAGTTTCGTTCTAAGGATAGATTTTCTTGGCGTCCGTGCAAAAACAGTCTTATCCTCTTCTTCTAGTACTTCCATTAATCCGGCATTTGTGATACCTTTACTTGATCTTCTCGCACGATCACGTTCTCTTAAAATTTTATTTCTCATTGGGAGAACTTGATTGGTAAAAATTTCAATCAGCTGTGATTTTTTTGCAGTAGATGGATAGCTGATATTATATGTGACGAATATAGACCTCAATCGAGGTACGGTGAGGCTTGCTGGATCAAAATTATCTTGCAGAAAGTCAAGGCTGTCATAATCCGCCATATTAAAAGATAAAGATTAGCTAATAAGTTGTGATATTAAAATATAGAAACTAGTTCTGCGTAAAAACGATGATATCTTGTGACAAATTAGTAATAACAGTGTGCACTTTCTGAGTGATTGGAAACAAAAATTGATTGGAAGGGAAAATTAAGTTAGCAAAGCTTTCCAAGGACCACAATGCTGCTTAGAAAATGAATGTATCAGGATGAATAATCCCGAAGAGTAGTTGATTAGTTCAGGTGGAATGAGGGGTGAAAGGGGGAGAGCGGGGGTAGAAACGATAAATCTTACCCGTGTCAGCCGATTATGGTTGGAAAGGCAACAAAGGCACTAGGCGCTAAGCCATATTCAAAACCACCAACTTTCATGCATAACATATTTACGTGCAATCAGTTAAGAGCCACGAAAGATACACGGAAGAAAAGTACCTGTAATCTACTGTCCAAGCTGTTAATTTGGCTACTAATCGCAGAACCTCAAGCACATGATTATGCCCTGCCCTCGATGGTTGAATAGAAGAGGAAAGATTTGGAGACAAGCAAAAGATCGGTCCTACGAAGCTATGATAAATAATTCTGGTGACACCAAAATAATAACACAATAGATCCTAAATCAAGGTTGGATAGAGCAATTCCAGATGACAGAGGCGATCGAAATGCTGCTGAGGGAGAGGAACAGGTCAAGCAAAACTTGGGGTCGATAAAGATGATGTGATTGGTTTGCATGAATGGCAATATAGTGTAAGTGCACTATTGAAGGATAAATTAGAAAAAACAGACGATTGAAAACAAACAACAAACAGGAAAGTCTAGGGTTTCCACCAGAATGTTTTCTCCCATGTAAATTAGAAAATATGATAGACAACTGCATGGGTCCACAGGGCGCCAAATCGGGTTAAATGAAATCAAATTCAAACCATGAAAAGTAAATATCTCTTATAAACCACCAATTCTAGTCTGAGGGTCTAACGCTAATCAGTTCATTCTGATTTTATCAATCATTTTTTACAATGAGCGAACCTCTAAACTCCAGTGACCTCTATATACACGCCTATGAAGATATAAATACCCTGGGAAAGATAGAAAATAGTAGCGCGGAAATAAGGAAGGCTAGCCTTTGAGTTGTAGACGAGAGAGATCAGGATAGACGCATAAAACGATGATAATGATGGATACCATCTTTTGAGAGATGAGATTTTGAACTCTGTGAAGGAGTATTACAAAGTGAAGAGCAATTTGCTCACCAAGCCTTCAACTGTGTAACTTCATGCCATACTATAAACGTCTTCATGGATAGATGATGTGGTATAACATCATCTTGGAAGGTCTCCCAAGAGGATTCTGGATAGCTTGAACACATATTCTATTTAAGGCAAGAGACAGCCAATTCGAACCTTGCATAACAAAACCACATTTCTCACGGCGCTGTTCTGCATGAATGACAAGGGTATGGTTCGGCAACTAAAGGTATCGAAACCTCCCCTTGGTGGACATTTATGAATAAGTGTTTAAGACTTAATGTAAACAAATATGCCTCATTGGTAATTGCAAATAAAATCCATGGTATGAATGTCTCTATTGTCAAAAGAGTCATCTGATATATTCACTACACACTCATTTTGTTTCATATCTAGGTAATAGAATGCTTTATACGTGAAAATGAATACGCGCAGGATGAGACTTCATTTGGTACTAAGGATGCCATTTACATTTGATCATGCTCATCTTGGTCTGGCGCCCTATATTCTTGTCCAAATATTGTTGAACTTCACTTTTCTATGGAAGGCTATCAAATTGAAATACCTTCACCTTCAATAATTTGGAGAGGATTTCTTGATGAAACCTTCAGGAAATGCAATGTGACTGTAGTATCTGGTGCCGAATCTATCTTGTCTCTCACTGTCCTTGGGTTATTTGCTGTCATCATTTAATAGGGGCTAAACCTCTTGAGTAAGTCGCAAGTACAATAGCTATCCTCCGTTCTCTATCTACCTCATCATCTGAACAAGGGCCCCGTACTACTTAAAAAAGGTGTGGGTGCGCTATTCGTTTAATTTGTTAAAACAGATCCACTCTTCTTTTGTCCACTGACAAGTCAACATTGTGCGTTTCTCATTTTGGAACAAACATCCACAACGACGTATTAGCCTATTATTGAAGTATCAATCACTGAGCCCTGATGGCATGTGTCTTGATTCGTAAGATGGGCTAAACAAGGGTCTATAGAATGTATCGTAAATGTAGAGCTCAGTAGTTAGTACAATAATTTATACCAAATAAGCTTTAGGCATTTACCAGCAGTACTGTTTCCTAACTATATCTTCCTTCAATACCTATCTACCAGTGGGAATTTTATCCAGTATTGTAGGATCTGTTCTCAATGTGCCTGCTTCTGATTATTGTGGCAGTAATACTGTGCCCTAATCAGTTTTTGATGGAAAGAAATGGATTGCCCTTGAAGTCCGTCATTCATCTACTGGTGTTTATATCAATAGATATATTGAGAGAATTATTTATTTATCTGTAAAAATAACCGCCCTAGATCGAAGTGAGAATAAAAATCCCAAAGAATTGACCTGCCACATCATGGGCTAACCCTGAAGACCTTAGGGTCGGACGATGGACCGTGTGTTACATCTCAGGTATTTTGGTGCCTAAAAGGGAAGTTCTCGATGACTATGCTTGTGAAAATCTGGAACATTGAATCTCTAATTGACAGTAACCTGCTGAAGGCGTTCATAGACCCATTCTAATCCCGTAATCTCGCCTTTACTTGAACAGATATTTGTTGCTAGGTTTCGTGCTGCAGCAATACAATCATTAACCCCAACGCCGCTATAGCCACATCCAGTAACACTAAGTCTTCCATTGAAAGTGGCCATCTCATTTATAACGTTGGCAAGGCGTTCCGTGTGACCAACAGTATATTGAGGTATGCATTCTTTTTGTATGTTAACCCTCACAACTTCAGGCTCAACAATGATCCCGAGATGACGCCTTAGTACAGCTTTGGCCATATTAATTCCCTCATTTTCATCCGGATAATTATGGAGTCCATCCCACCAGTGTCCACCTATCATGACGGTGAGCTTTGTGCCAGGGACTTCATCCTGACCCTGGATGGCATCGCTATCGAAAACAATACCGAGTGCACGTTCTGGATTTTGTTCAAAAGGAACGGATCGCGGGATCAGGTAGCCAAAGCCGTGACTTGACAAAAGCGTAGGAGAACTATAATATAAGTTGACTACCATGACAGTGACGGTTGGAACGAGGGAGAGACTGGGAAGATTTGGAGTTAGTGAGGACGTTTGATGTGGTAGGAGTGTTGAAATAATTTGTGTATATGTTTCTGGACATTTATTTCTTGAAGTTTCAAGCTGAAAGTACGTCAGCATCTGAGCGTGTATGTGAAACAAACACAAGGTGACTTACATTGATACCATTATCACAAGTTGTAATGCATTTAGCAGTCTCGCTTAATCTAATCTTTACATTAGATGCTGCGCGAAGATAGTCTTCGAGGGCCCTAGATAAAGTGTCAAGACCGTTTCTGAAAGAATATACGCTTGCGCCACTTAATCTTTCCCACAATACAGGATTTATCTTGGGAAGAATTTCTCTGCGAATGTTAAAATCACTTGGAGACATTATTCTTATATTTTTCTTGGAACATGTTAATGCACCTTTCGTCATGCTCCCGAATTGTTCCTCCATATACCACAGAGTAGGAAATAAACTTCGAATACTAAGCTGCTCAATATCCCCTGCGTATATGCCATGAAGAATAGCCGAATGAATATTGTTAACTAGATTCTCGGAGCCCAGTCTACGGTGTAAAAATCTTGCTACTGACTCGTCTTTTAAACTAGCCGGTCTAGGTGGTCTGTAAAATTCAAGACATGCAGAAAAGGCTCCACTGAAAATCGGTTCCGTAAGAAGAGAATAAACTTGATTTAAGACGTTCTCACCAGGACCGGGCATTCGTACAAGACGGTCGGGATAATACACAAACCGATTTCTTGCGGCAGCTGAATCATGTGCATTTGTGATTATTTCGTCCTCAAGCTTCAGGTTTTGTATCTTCGATGGATTAGCTTCTGCGAATTAAGTCTTGACAAATGGACTTTTACTATTTCTGCTGTAGCCAGAGATGTTGGTGTACCGAATCGTAGGGTTCGAGGGCCAGATTCAAAAACAATCTTACCATTCTCGGTACTGGTTTCACTATGCAACCATCCTCCCAAACGATTACTACTTTCGTATAAGGTAATTTCTACATTCTGCGAGTTTTTACTGAGGTAATACGCGGTGGTTAAACCGCTTATGCCACCACCGATAATCGCAATATGTGATTGCGGCTGCGTAGAATTACAGGTGGCACCATGGTCTCTTTGAAGAGTACTTGAGAATGAGGAATAGCGGCGGGATTGCGATAGTCGAGAAACCTGATAATCTAAACTGAGCGTAGGAGTTATCTCTTTGTAGGAAGCAGCAAGCTTGCTTAGTTGGTGTTGTTTCCAGATAGCTTTGTGTGGGTGGGTAAATGGTCCAGAGTGTGCAAAGAACCTTACTGAACAACACATAGCTTGTACCGGAGTATTGGGGCAGTCAGCAAATGTGTGAAATTCAAGTAGGCGACTTTTAGGAGGGATATCCGATGTTCGACTGATGCACAATATCGTGACATCAAGGGAAATGTTTCTGCATCAACCCATTTTTGACAGGGGCACATCAACCGAGTGTCTTGTACTTCAACTAATCCGCCGTCATGGGAGATCTTACAAAAAGTTCCACTATGCTACTCTACATCACCCTAAAAATATCTAAACTTAAACAATCTGTCCCTTGATGCAATCACGCAGCCTATTAATATCTAAATATATATGCAAAACATCATCAATTGATCAAAAGCGGCACCACGTTCCACGAACGTTATTTCATCGTTTTTATAATTGCTACCACCTAAATCAATCCTTCTTACCTAATCTTCCGATTTTTCACGTTACGCTTCGGCATAGCAGGTTGGGAGGCTAGAAAGGTGGATTTCACAGCCGAAAAAAAACATCACAGTGCCACAACCACTACGAACAGACAGTGGAACCCCCACGATTACTGCTGAAGAGCCTCTCGCGATCTCTACAGGCGTCAACATGGATACTTTAAAGACAGTAGGGCTTTAGTTAAATAAGTTCGGGGATAGACTAGTAATATCAGGCACTCACAAATCTGCGACACCGATGATCGAGGTAGGTGAAGCTTTTGATGCCTTGCAAGCCCACGTTAAAATTGAAGTTGAAGGCTTCACGAATGGAAGAACGGATACTGGTCAAACCCCCACCACAATAATTTAGACCATCAGGGACAAGTTAGTTGTTCACTGCGCCGCGGAACTGTTTCCCCCCATAAGAAAAAAAGAACATCCTAAAGACTGAAAGCAGATGATGTTAATCAGATTATATCTTACGTTTAGTCTTCACCTGAAAACCGCCGCAAAACATTTCTATACTCATCTCTGGCCCCTTTAGATATCTTTGTGTTAGCGTGCAAGTAATATAAAGAGAACTTAAAAAAAGAGGATATCAATGACATGTAGCTCATCTAAAGCCTCCAGCATGTCAAAAAACTATGAAGTCATGCAGAGAATTGGCCAAAGCTCATCTCAGTTGGACATATGATGACTTGATGGCATTTTTACGCACAGACGAAACTTAGGAAAAGGATAGACGAAATTCTAGAGACTAGGTGACAAGAATATTCGTAAATTCCTCTTTAAAAAGAAAGGAGTATGATGATCTCAAAATTTGAGCTATACTTTCCAACAGTACAATGCTCATTGTGTTGAAGAAAAAATGAAGAACAGGGTTAGCTGGATGTTCTGGGGTTGCTTCGCAGGGTAAGAAAAAGATATATGTTTATCTCGGGAGATGGAGTGGAAATATATCGACTACCAAAAATGTTGCGAGAAAATAATTTATATTTTCGATGGTACGGTATCGATAAGACCTTGGATCTCTGTAATGCAAGACAATACCCCTGCTCACGCAGCAGCAAGTACGATGGAAGAAACTAGCCAAAGGCTCATTCAATCGATTTTCTGGCCGACCAATTCGCCTGATCTCAAACCGATTGAATTTGTTTGGGATAGGGTGAAGAACTACATCCAGCGTCATTATCCGAATTTGAGTAGCGGAATGCGGTGTACTCGAGATAGTCTTTGCAAGATCGTGAGGTAGGCATGGGATTCCGTGTTTCCCAAATATCTTGTGATTGTGACAGATCCCGAGTTGGTAATTTATAAATAGATTTATTAAATTATAGGAATTAGGTAATCTCCAGTTACTACTAATAGGTGCTTATAACGTTTGGTCGCTTCGTGAATCTGCTGACTGATAACTTTCCTCTAAGCCTACAGTCTCTTGAGGGTATCAAAATTACAATTATTGAAATGACTGGGGTTAGATCCCTGTGCATATTGCCTTAATTGGTATGGTCTTCATGCAGGCCCATGTCTAGTTACTTGACTAGTCATGCAAGCAAGGAGTGCTGTCCAATGATATTCCGCGAAAGTCTAAATTATGGAGATGGGTTTCAACTCTAAATGAAATGTACAATGGTCCTCATTTAAATTTTGAAATTTAAAAAATCAATTGATATTATCTAAAAATACACATCTATTTCAAAAATAATCGCTCTGTATTACAAAAGTCTACATCGGAGTCTTCAGTGTAGCTCGCAACTAAAATGAAAGCGTGCTACATGTTGTGTGTTAGTCTGCTCCATCCTAACACCTTGTATACCCTCCATTTTCCTTTATCACCGCTATTCATCTTTCGTGCATGTTGACCACACTTAACGGATGTTCTTCCGAGCAATGCATCTGCTGTAACCCATTTTATTGAGGGCATTTGAAAGTTAATGCTCATTTCATCCCTAGTGGATGAATGGTCCCATTGCTAGTTCCAAATAGCACATCTGTCGATTTTCAGGAGATTCCCGGACGAAAGCCTCAAGCTCATCAACTTGTTCCGCGCTTAATATAGACGGGCGTCGTTTGCGAGGTTTAGGATTCGCAGTCTCTCGAGCACATGCTAATTGCACTTGCCTTCTTGTGAAACCAAGTTTGTCGGATATATGTTGTAACATAAAGCCAAGTCTTCTTAATGCTCTTATTTCAATACATTGATCGGGAGTTAGATGCTTGCGAACTTTAGTTTCTGAAGCAGGCTTTTGGAGAGACATTTTTGCTAGAAGTGAGGATGAATTGATAGTGATGTTAAGTTTCAAAGGCTGTGTAGGATAGGCAGCCAAAAATGTCGTTGAAAATGTGTTTCTCTAACCAATTGTTAGAAGAAGACAATTGGACCATACTTCATGGCGAGCGGGGTAATAAGGAGAGATATACTAACCTATTACGAGCTAGCCCAACTGCGCCTACAGGGCTAATCCCTTCAACGACCCAGTTTGAAGTTTTACCTTTTGGAACCTAGAGGCACTGTATATTAAACGCTTAGGTTTCCTCCTAAGCTTTAACAACAGTCAAACCGTAACAGTGAGACTCATTAAGAGTATGCCAGCAAGATGCCAGGCTGTGAAGGATGCAGATGTAGGACCAACCATATATAAAGGCCTGAAAATATTTAAGACGCATGTTCAGATCTAAGGTCAATCTAAGAAGGTGGGGTAGTAATTTGTAATTCGAAAACCATTGAACTCTTGTAAATAAGTTAGAGTCAGGTAGTAAAATTGCACAAATGTTATGCAGCCGATCATTATACCGGTTTGGTTTAGTATTAGGGAAAGACCATCCACAGACTAACCAGGTCGGAATAAAATTGCCTTACAGAACTTTACGAGTTTTTGTACAAATTCGGAGGCTAGCTCTGATATGGAAGGTGTTATGCCTAAGTGGGCTTAGTACGCCATTAAAAACCCCGCAACGCCCCTACGCTAACTACCCACCGTGGCAAAAAATTAGAGTAAGCTTCCAGGAATCCCCATTTTCCTCCACAAAAACTCGTCAAGGTTCCAAAGTAGCTTAGCGATTCAAATTCAAGGCGAGCACATCGAACTTCATTCGTATTAACTGATAATAGTATTAGGAGTCTACCATTCATGCTGCCTGTGTGGCCACAAATCAAAAAATCTCACGCGTTCAATTCATCAAGGAGCCAAGTGGAGAAAAGCCCGAAAATGCTGCTTTGAAGCAATGACAAACAATCCTGGAGACGATAAAATAATTACACAAAGGATCCTTAGTCATGGTCAGATAGAACAATTCCGCATCACATATGCAAACGAAATGCAGCTCAGGGGACGAGGCAGGACCGGCAAAAGACTGGGGTCGATACAGGGGGCGTCATTGGTACACAAAGATGGCATAACAGTGTAATTGTGCTTCCTGTAGAATAGAGTGCGAATTCAATAAATAAATCAAAAGTCTGGGGCGTTTTCGTCAAGAAGTTTCTTCCTATGTAAATACATAGATGGGTTTACAGCCACCTACATGGGCCCACAGGGTGCCAAATCAGCATAATAAAATCAAAAATATAAACACAAAATAAAGTACTCATGCCTCGGATCTCATTTGCAATACCTCTGAGAAGACATAGCGGCTCTTTCTTCACCTCAAGTCAGCTCTCATCTGTGAGTACTTACCCAGGTAAAAGTTTCAAAAACCCTGATAAATCAGATATGCCTTTATTGTCCATTGAATTGTCTCAGCGCAAAATTTTGGCTGAAGCTTCTCCTTCCAAAGTGGAGTAGGTGCCCAGGCTACTCAAATTACACTGGAGGATGCCAACAGGAGAGGGACCACTGCGCCTTCCATCTTTAGTTTGTATTTACAGTGTAAGCTATATTCGATAATTTCACATTATACTTAGACGAAGACTATAACAGGTTGTTTTGGTCTTTTTCAGCCTTCATGACGGTAATATATACGCTTCGGGTGGTGTACTGTCATCTGTTTCTTTCACGGGTTGGCGAGTATTGTGTCAAATTTTGGAAAAACTCTAGAACGTTTGATTCTTTACATTCTAATGGGGGCAGAAGAGACTGGGAACTTTTACATCATTAGAACTACATGCCATGATATTAATATTGCTGAAAAATCGCGGCAATACTTGCATTAGAATTACAACTCCAAGACTCCATTTTCCCACCCAAATATCATACAAATTTCGTTGTCCAGGTAGTACTAATTCGGAACATCATGTAGCTAGTTGCCTTTTGTGGGAAGTCTGATTCATCCTACCTTCGGATATCCCGGGTACAATCAATTCCTCCGGACCATCTTCGTTAACAAACTTTCTCTCACTCACATGGTCCTTTGTCACATCAGAAGTCCAAACTCTATCTTCAAATTTGCCTCTTTTTTGTCCTTCGTTATGTTTGAAGGTGCAAGACGGGTTCAAACAAGGGTTAAATTTACACATTGTCTTTACGTGTGTGTATTTGCAGTCATCGGTTGTACACTCGGCACCATTTCGACATAGTGGCATGCTAGGATGTCTAAACGGACAGCGGGGATTGGTGCAATTAGGAAAAAATTTACAGTCTAGTTCTGTCTGGTGGGCAATCTTCTGGGCTGGAGATGGATGCTTGCCGACGCATTTTCGATTTTTACATGCAGCTCCAAAGGAGCAAGTGTCGTTAAAGTCGATGTTTGATCCAGCAGGTGCCGCAGGTGATTGATGTGCGAATTTACAGTCCTTGTTTGTGCAGGCTAGGTTGTATTTACAAGTTGTGTTTTCTGGGTCGAGTTCTTTCTTGTCGATGGACATTTCAACATCCACTAATGAGGTCTGGTTTTCAGTGGACGTTTGGTTGAGGTTATCTCCGTAGTTATTCCCCCGCACTTTGTGTATGTTATTTGATCCTTCTCGAGTGTTCTGTTGTGCGCGATCAAAAAGTGACCTTCCTTTTCGTGGCTGATGTGAGAAGGTGCTTTCGTTTCCCATAGCGATAGGACCAGCTCTTCTCGCTTGTTCCTGAGCTCCAAGTAGCTGGGCCATCATTCGTGATTGTTGTTCAAGCATTGTGTATAATTCAAGTTGCTGTTGAGGACCCATACTCATAATATTTGCTGCTGGGCTGCTGTGCACGGCGTGTACCCCATTATGCAGACTTCCCATCAGATTCACCCGATTATTCTGCGTGCGTATTCCACCTCGACTAGGAGTTCCTGCTTGCTGTCTTGGTCCGATAGGCACACTCCGCCCAATACGCTCGTTACCAACCTGGGGTCGAACGCGGTGAAGAAAATTTTCATTTGATCGATCAAGAGTTTTAGTGATATGATTCATTATGCGTTTGTCCCTTCCAATTCCACGTATGTTATTATTCCTCATTGACTTTGGACCAGTCGGTCTGAAGAATATTAGCTTCACATCAAATACACGGGTGTTTTTCGTTGATTATTGGAAAAAGTCATTTTAAACATACACGTAATTACCGCTGTTTTGTGCGTCCCCCATCTCAAGATCTTGTGATTGGGAATTAGGTTGATAATCTGCTTTTTCGTCGGTTTCGCCTTGAATGTGTATTTCTTGTCCTCCGTTCAACTGAGCATCCAACACCTCAATTTGCTGGAAGAGCCATTGAGAAAATTCTCGAGCACCAGGATCATCTGGTCCGAGCTGCAATAAGTCGCCTGCAAGTTCTGATGTGATTTGTTCTTGATTTTTACCATTCACAAGCATGAGAATAATGTATTCAGAAAGCGCTGTAGCGTCATCACCTGCACTCCATCCGACCTCTATCAATTTTGGCTGTATAGCCGAGTTGAGCGCCTGAGCGAGTGGCGTCTCTAGAATGACCTCGACAGTCATTTTCGCTGCGTCGACTGTAGAGTTCGGAAGGTTTGCCCAGGAATCTTACAAAGACGATATTACGTTTATTAGGTGAAGATAATTCAAGTGGAGGTTTAGACCAATTCTGCTGGATACTTTGATCGACGATTGTGAAATAGTTGTTTTGACACGTTGTGCAATGATGATTTTTGCTTATGGAGTCCAGCCAGCAGATGGGGATCCCTGGGCCGTGTCACGCGGAGTTATAGCTGACTATTAGTACCATCACGTGATAAATTGTTTAACTATGTTGCATTATTTCTCATTAGGCCTTCGACGGCCAAACTTGATTTAATTTGATTTCATTCATCCCATTCAGGTACCCTATGGACCCATGCAGGTATATCTAGCTATCATATTTACACAGGAGGAAACCAAATTCGGTAAAACCCCCCACAACTGTCTATCTCTTGTCTATTTGTTTTCAGGGGTTTCCTACAGGAAGTGCGTTTACACTATACGTCCAGTGTGAATACCGTCCTATCCTTTTCCCGATCGCTCAATCCTTTCGCTGACTGTTGTCTCAACTTCTTCTCCAAGCCGGGACTGTTCGAGCCAGCCGTTTGTAAGTATCCACTCTGAAATTCTCCTCATGTCTTCCGGGCTGTTCATCATAGCTTGGAAAGACCTATCTTTTGCCCGTTGCAGCACCTCTCCTCTTCCTTAGCCCACTGAGGACAAGCCATGACCATATGTTTCACGTTTTGTGACGGATATCCACACTGGCGCTTTGGATTTGCCACTCCAGGGACCTTTCTTCTATAAAGATAAGAGTTGAGGCCGATATGTCCACTTCTCATCTGAACTGCAATACTACTTTGGGCCCTACTCAGGTTTCGGTGGATATCAGAGGGTGTGTTTCTGTAGGTGATTCTTTTACTGCCTGTTCTCTTATCGGTGTTTATACTTGCTGCTTTCCAATGTTCTGGGTCTGCCGACGCCTAGTGAGAAGATAGCCGCTCTTCCTTAAAAGTTTTCCATGCGCTTTCCCACTCCTGGAAGGCTGCTATCTTACCCGCTTCTTTTTGTCTGCGCCTCACTTTTTCGTTCCTGCAGGTTTTATTCCACTCGCTAGTGTCTCGGCTTCGATTTTTTGCGTGGCTATTTTCGCTCAGGCTATAAGCCTGCGATATTTTACTACATGCGGATAGAATCGTCCGCTTGATAGGTTGTCTTTCCGAAAGTCCGATATGTTGAACTCTCATTTGTTTGAGGTAGATGTCTAGTGTAAGGATTGAGCATTCGGGGTCTAAAGCTCTACTGCTGGTGGAATTATATAACCCTGTGACTAGCTTCAAGCATTTTCTTTGGATACTTCGCAATGGTTTAACTATCCTTTCTGGTATTCAACCCGTTGGTCCAGCTGCAGCCCCATACAGAGGTATTCTGTTGGGATGTACGCAATTAAAATCTGATGCAAAAAAAAAAAAAAGTTAAACCTAATACTCGTACCTTGGTATGTGTAGCGAAATTTCATGGGAAGGTAGTTCAAAGCTATCGACCAGACAGCCATGGCTGGTATCCGCGCAGCTCTGTCGATTTGGCGTCCGGAGTCAATCACTGCTCTATAACGAGAATCCGGCAACACGCCTGCACAAATAATTCTGGAAGGACGAATCAAATCCGCGGCCCTCACTTGGATAGTAGACCGTAACCACATGTTGCTTATCCGGGCATTAAAGTCAACCGACAGGAGGACAAGATTGAACACCCGTACGCGTTGTTCTCGACAAACCTGGGAGTGAAATTTTCTCCCAAAGCCAAGTTCAGTCAAATTTCGCAATACCGAATAAGTTGGCCCACGAGGTAATGATTCAAAATACTCCACCATATCAATCTTTCACTCCTAACGAAATCGATTCCTACCTAAGCCTCATCAAGCTTACAAGTACGAACTAGTACATCCTCGTTCCAATGACCACACCTCTTGTCGACTTTCTCTGGCCTTAGCTGGTTGCCAGATACACGCCCACGCTGATATTTACACCCGACGGAGGAAGCAAAACGTGGCACACAAATCTGGGAGACAGTTCTTTGGGGTGGAGGTGAGATATACCGGGACAAGGTCACAAGATGATGTAAAGAGGGAATATAACCTCGAAGGGCGTGAAATTTGGAAAGGAGTTTTTACGAATTGAACTTTGTGCGCGCCAAGACTTCGCTTGCGAGAGTGCAGCTGACACTATAAAAACAAGCAAACGATGGAAGTTGCTGTAGTCCGCCTCCTGGTGGTGTTCTCCGGTATAGTTTGAGTAGCCTGGACACCTACTCCACTTGGGAAGGAGACGCCTCAGACCATATCTCGCGCGGAGAAAACTTGAAAGATGATGGAGGCATGTCTGGATAACTCAGGGTTTTTGAGACGTTCTCCTGAGTGGGTATTCACGGATGAGGGTAGACTTGGGGTGAAGAAAAAGCCGCGATAACTAAGTCGTGATATTTGCAAACGAAATCTGAAGTATGAGTGCTCTTCCTTGACGTTGAATCATCTATTCTGTACTTTTCTTTGATATTGTGTCATAGCTAGATAGCTTCATACGCAATTGAAACCTGACACAAAACACATCTGACGCGGCGCTCTTACATTAACATCTTGGCCCGTCACTGATGGCTCGACAATTAGCTCTTACATCATAATTTTAACCAATTTGAGGCTCGAACTCAGCAACTTGCCCGTGTCAATGACACGTGATAACCAACTACACAATCCGGCCCACTCTATCCCAAAATCTAAATGAGTATATATTTAGTACAATCAATTTTTTACATAAGTCTCATGCCCAGTAGTCCAATGCTCATCAAAAAATATTTCTCATCATGCAGCATAAAATCCCAATCGAATTTCTTCAGCAATTGGACATTTTAAATTTTAAAATTTAGTCAGAGGAACGTGAGGGCATGTGATACCATCAGCCCTCTAACGTTGAACGGCCATCTAAGGCAACTTGTGTGTATATCTTACCCTGAGGATGGGTAATTATTCTCAACACCTGTCAGTGGTGTCCCCTACGAACCTCCAGCTCTCGCTGAAGAGTCTGCAGAGCCGAGATTGAGTAACAAAGTCCTAACTTCGACGAGGATTATCAATCACTTTTGCGGTCTACATCTTCTTCATCTCCCAATACATTCCCCTATCACTATTATCATGTAGCTAAACACGATCAGATCAGATGGTAGGGTGGGAGCCCTACTCATCACCAACCCTTGATCATGGAGGAGAAGCCATCCGATGAGTTTCTGGAGCATACCCAGCACTGGAAACGGAGATGGTGGATTGGATCAAGTCGGCCTCGACTGTCACACAGAAGGAAGATATAGATGAATATGTGCACCTCATGTGGTCCCGGTGTCTAGGCCTCGCCTGGCTGTGACTACAAGGTTTTTGAGACTTTTTCCCGCGCACGCAGTTTCCATTGTTGCCATTTTTCTAGGGTAGGAGGTGTTGTGGAAAAAGTGACTGAATTCCACGGCCAAATACTGAGCTATATGTCTATTTATCTTGGGCAGTGTGTCGTAGATCTTTCTAGTAACACAAGAGGCAAGGAGCACTCTACAAGGTGTGGCCTGGGTCAGAGAGGAGCCTAATTTTTTAGATAGTTATAACCTCAAGGAGCACGATAAACACATACACACATCTAACCGACATTCGAGACTCAGAACAAATCAGAGGTTACATTTAATGATAGTAAACTATAGACAGAGAATTTGTAGTGTAAAGTAGCTTGTATCTGTTTCTTTGACCAGTCTTAGGTAATTGAGCATGCTGTAGTCTCATTGACGGAAATATTCCTCCCAGCTTGTTTTTGATTTAACCCCTGCTTTTTATATCTGGAGAATTGGATATTCGAAATGAAGACCGTTCATGTAATGGGTCTTCATCTCTAGACAGCTTAAAGTGTTTGAATTATTTCTATTAAGCCTACATGATTTTTTTATTTCGAATTTCGACCTTATGCAAGTTCCATAGAGAAGTTGTACGCGGAGCTTAGAGGATGAAAATTCAGAAGATATGATAGGACAAGAACTCAACACCTGCCAGTGGTATCTTAGATTTTTAAATTATCATCCTTATCTTTGGGATGCAAACAAGTATGATATTAATAGTTGTCATCGGCAGGAACGAAAAAGTGAGGCGCAGACAAAAAGAAGCGGGCAAGATAGGAGCGTTCCAGGAGTGGGAAAGCGCATGGAAAACTTTTAAGGAAGAGCGGCTATCTTCTCACTAGGCGTCGGCAGACCCAGAACATTGGAAAGCAGCAAGTATAAACACCGATAAGAGAACAGGCAGTAAAAGAATCACCTACAGAAACACACCCTCTAATATCCACCGAAACCTGAGTAGGGCCCAAAGTAGTATTGCAGTTCAGATGAGAAGTGGACATATCGGCCTCAACTCTTATCTTTATAGAAGAAAGGTCCCTGGAGTGGCAAATCCAAAGCGCCAGTGTGGATATCCGTCACAAAACGTGAAACATATGGTCATGGCTTGTCCTCAGTGGGCTAAGGAAGAGGAGAGGTGCTGCAACGGGCAAAAGATAGGTCTTTCCAAGCTATGATGAACAGCCCGGAAGACATGAGGAGAATTTCAGAGTGGATACTTACAAACGGCTGGCTCGAACAGTCCCGGCTTGCAGAAGTGTCAGTGTAAAGGTCATAGGATAGATTGAAGAGATCTAATCTGGTGATTGAGATTGTCTACAAAGAGGAAAGGTGACTCCCATTGAGTCCTATAAATATATATACATCGTGAATCGCGCATCAGACGCGTGATAGCACGTGACTATACGGTACCGCAATCCACTCCATCCTTTTACATATGGTCCCGCCTTCAAAGAACTAGGAATTGGCCCTAATACGAAAATCACCGTTGAGCTCGCCTGTCTGGGGCGACATGCATTAGGATATCTACTAGCTTCACGGTCCGGTCATGGCGACTTCGCGGACTACCACCGACGGTTTCAGCATGAAAACGCCATTCT